CATCTTTACAATGACTGGCTCACCCATCCACGACTGAATATAATGAATAAATACTCGACTGGCAATTATTCCTATTTGTTCTAAAATGAGGTCAGAGTTCAGATTTAATCATGGCAGACATCCACCATCACCACCATCTTTCCTCCATCTGTTCTGCTATTGCTGTACTCGAAGCATCTTCCCAGTGTCAGGTCATGGCTGGCATCGTCTTAGTTGGAGCAGAAAATAAAATTTACATTTCCCTTTTTGTCACATCTCAAGGTCAAAGAGAAAAAAGAAGGCCAGAAAAACAAAACAACAACAACAACAACCGTAATGTGCTTTGTTGCACACTTCTGCCTTTCTTCATTAGAAACAGTATCAGATGCTTTTTGCAAGTCCGACAGATGAGCATAAATCTACTATGTGCAGTAGAGACTGCATGTTGTGTCCTAAAAACATACATTAACCACTAGGAAACAGTATGCCATCAAGAGAACATCTTTCAGCTCAACACCGGATGACAATGTCTGTGAGAGAGATTTATCTTGTCCTGAAGGATTAGTTCAGGTTAAATTTCTCTCAGATTTTCAGACTTACTTAGCATCACCAGCAGGGCCGGTGGTCATTTAGAGAAATGAAGTGGTCACCAAAACTGTTGGACAGGCTGCCACAAAACAGTGAGAACAATATTTATGGTCCTGTGAGGAGAAACTCAGATGTTTTGGATGATCGTGTTTGTTTTCCTTTAGTGCTACCACATAGTTAATATCTTGAGCTTATAATGAAACATCTTGACTATGACACAGTACTTTGTGAAACTCTTGAGCAACCTGTCCTGGGTATATCCCGCCTCTCACCCTGTGATAGCTGGGAGAGACCCCAGCCCCTCGTGACCCTGAACTGGTTAAGCAGAAAGGGATGGATGAATGGATGGATGTGTGAGATCGATGAACCAATGTTGTGTATTTTAAATTGTGTCTTTGGGTACTTTGTTACAAGCACTCTGTTACAAGAACACAATTTGTTTCCCATATGTTTGCAAAAGATAACACAGTTTGACCAAATAAATGAGTGTTTTAGCACCAACAAGGTGATTTAAAGAGCTGAAAACTTGGCATATTGTGGCACAGTGTGCATTTCTCTTCGAAAAACCTGAGTACTTTGGACAAGAGGAGGACAAAAGAAAAAGCAGCTGGCCTAAAAAACGATTTACAGCAGATAAAAAGTATCTGAAAGTTCTGTCTTTTAAGAAATATCTGAAAGAGATGCACCTGGCCCTTGAGTAGATCCATCTACTGTTCACGAAAGCCTCATCAAAAATGGTCTCAGTGGATGAATGGCTGTCAAGAAGCCATTCATAATGAAGGCAGACAGGAAGAACAGGATGAGGTATGCCAAATTACACAACAACTGGACTGAAAATCAGTGGCAATGGGTCTGATGGAGTGATGAATCCAAATCTGAAAATGTTTATTCAAATTATCATAAATATGTTCGGAGGAGGTCAGGAGAGAAGTGCAACGCTGAGTGTCTACAGCCATCTGTGAACAATACTGTGCTTAAAGAATCTACTAGAAAGTTTGCCTGAGAGAGGCTGTGTTGAGGACTAAAGGTGATCATAGCAAATGTTGACTTTCAAGCTGATTAGAATTGCACATCTCTGTTTTATATACCTTATATAGTGTTTTTCCTGGCTCAAGCACAAATTCTCTAACTGTCCTTCTAGTGCAAACAGTAGCACAAAGTTTCTGTTTATCAAATCAAGTGGTTAATTTACAAATACTTGCAAAACTAAAGACAGATGTCTTTAGTTCTGGGAGATCCTAGAACTTCAGCTAAAAATTAACTAAAAAAAAACAATATTGCTTTACAGACATCATCAATTTAATGTTAATGTTACCAGTAAGTACAGAGTGAGCCTACATCTGGACAACACATGTGACACTTAACTCTTATTGGGTATTCACTGGATACAAATCTTACAATAAGCATATTTTTGGAGCAGACTTGTAGCAGACTAAAAAATCATGAGTACATAATTTACATCATATCAGTTTCAGCAGTAAGCTGTCATTTCATTGGTCTCAGAAAAAGTCCCTTCTGATGTAACTGACACTAACTTTTTTAAAATACAAAAACAAGCTATACAATCACTGATATTAGTTTTATTTTATTTCAAAAGAATAAACTAATATTAAGCAACAATGAGATTAGAGTATTATTTTCTGATAATACTGTTGAATATTCAATAATTTTCTATAATTCTTGCAGAAAAAGAAAAAAAAACTTGGTGGACCGGTGCCCTCGTTAAAGAGACTTCCTGACAATATCCAGACAGTTGCTCTGTACATACAGACATCCTGCATGGTAAGGGCACATGCTAATCCTCAAGCTAAAATCCCCTCTGACCAGATGTTGCAGCTTACAGGGACAGACTGGGCACAAAATTAATGGCTATCACATGCTCCCTAATGAAGGGATTGAACAGGGCACAGTCCTGTAGTGTCGGGGAGGTCGTCCATGTTCTGCTGTGGTTCACTGGCATCAAATTAATTGTGTCCCACGTCTGTCTCACCTCTTATTTCTGTCTGTCTGCAGTGAAAAATATGACCTATGGAACTATCAACAGTGCAGAGAAAGATCTTTGATAAAAAGAGGCAGCGGTGGGGAATGGGTGAGGCTGACATAACCATAAACATATAGAGAAGGGTGACGGAGAAGGTGTGGGAGAAAGAGAGCATAAGAGAAACGAGTGACAACTTATCAGCAAAATTCCTGTTTTCATTTTAAAGTAGTTGCTATTTATTAGGGATTCCCAATGGTCAGACACAAATAGCCACGAGCTAATCAGATCCAGTTTTAAAAGATTCGCTTTAAGCAAAAGCTATGTAACCTCTGGAACACCACCCAGTGATTGACGCATGTTTAAGGTGGAATTCTTTTAACGTAGCTGTAAAAAACAGATCGATAAATGGATTTTGACAGATGTGGCTAATGAATTTTGAACGTCACAACCTGGAAGGAATATGAGCGGCTCACCCATACACACACACACACGCGAGCACGCACACAAACAAAGAACATCCAACTAAATATTTCATCCTCCCTCAGGGTCATTTGAATATGATCACTATCTTGATCGTGAAAGGTCTGACCATCTGTACAAGCTTGCTAAATACACATAAACAGAGCCAACTTATGCACAAAATCCACTTAAACACACACACACAGACACTCATTCACTGCATCCATAAGACTGAGTATAGAGCCTCTGGATCCATTAGTTATAATAAGCTGAAATTTACCAGTAATGCATCCTACAGCCGTAGAGGAGACATCAGATGGTTATATTTACCATCTGAATACCAATGAAGTACCACAACACGAATAACCTAATTGAAAAGGACTGGTTTTCTTATATCCATCCATCCATTCGCAGACAACCATTCACACTCACATTCACTCGCACATTCACACCTAGTGGCAATTTGGATTATCCAATTAACCTATCCCCACAAGCTGCATGTCTTTGGACGGTGGGAGGAAGCCGGAGTACCCGGAGGGAACCCACACAAACACGGGGAGAACATGCAAACTCCACACAGAAAGACTGATGCCTGATGGTGGAATTGAACTCAGGACCTTCTTGCTGTGCGGCAACAATAACCACCGTGCCACCGTGCTGCCGGTTTTCTTATACACATGGGAAAATGTTTTCACAGGACCACACAGAGTCATGTGAAAAACAAAGTACACCCGGTGATTCAGCAGATGTAGAACCACCGTTAGCAGCAAACTATTTTTTTCACTCATTCTGTTAGAGATCTGCTGCTTTGCTCGAGATCGTTGTCTTTTTTCATGACCCGTTTTTATGCTTAAGCTGTCGAACAGACGGCCTCACATTTGACTCTAGAATGCTCTGGTATACAGCTCAGTGACTGCAGGCTGCCCAGCTCCTACAACAAACCAAAATCATCACCCCTCCACCACCGTGCTTCAGAGGTGGTATGAGGTGGTGTGCTGGTATGTCAAAAGGACGTTGTTACAGAAGTGCTGTGGTTCGTTCAGATGCAACTAAAACTGAAACTTTTTTGTTGTTGTTCTGTTTGTTTTTTTGCAGTTTCATTGAGAATTGCACAGTTGGACTTTGGGGTGAATTTACTTGGAAGATTGTGAGACTGATTGCTCCAGACCAGCCAACTGCCAAAGCTTCTGCTTTTATAGGTGCTCAGACTTCCTGATAGTCACTTAATGTATTTGGTTAGCAGGACCTTGATGATATTTACCATCTTAATTCCTGTTGTGTACTTAGTTTTCACATGACAGCGAAGAGTCCTGTGGAAACTTTCTTTCTGTTTGTTTCCCTGAAGCCAATAAAGTAAACGTATCAACAAATATTGGGGAGGACCAGCAGGAAGAGTCTCAGTATCATTCAAAAACACACACTGTTTCATTTTAACACAAATATGCTGATATATCCTCATAATGATGATAATAACCCATGTTCAAGTGGATGCCATCCAGATACTTAATGTGATCAAAAATATGGCACAAATCAGACAACAATGCACATTTTGATGAAACTCAGGTTTGCTGAGGTGAAGATAATTGCAAAGCACACTGGAGTGTTATATACTGTGCAGCACATTGTGCAGCAAATCATCCCAGCGTGAAGCGCACTATTACGCTTTTATTAAAGCCTCGCCGAAGCGCGGCAGCAACAGCAACGGGGTGGCAAGTGTTGCCATGCTGCCAGGGTGAGTCGGCATGATGATATGAAGGTGATATGAACTAGAGCATGATGTGATTGGACTGAGCCCGCACGCCAAACAGCGAGATGATGAAGGGGGTGATGAGGGAAGAAAGGCGGAGGATGAGAAAGCAGAGAGGGGGGGAGGTGATGTGGATATAGTTGAGGTCAAACAGGTAAGAGTAAGGGGATTGGATGGGGTGACCTGATCGGGGGGATAAGAGAAATGAGACAGCAAGAGGAATTGGAGAAGAGGAAAACCACTTACCTTGACCCTGTGCCTTACTGGGGTAATAGGAAACAAGGGCCAGTAACACCAGTGGAGCCCACAAACACCAACTGATCTGCCCCATTGACAACATCCTCAAAACCAGCAGTCTAGACCTGCAAGGACAGAAGACTGATCAGCAAGAAAGAAAGAAACAAGAGCGGAGATTTAACTGCATGAATGTCACTCGGCCGCGGGGCGACTCAATGCTTCAGTTCACTGATCTAGAATCAGTTATTTTGTTTAATATCAACTTTTTTAACAGTTACAGAGCCGAAGCTTCACAGTCTACACTGACCACAGAGCTGCAGCTGAGCCTACCGCCTACACAAAACGAGCCAGAAGCAAAACAGTGGAGCACTTTGTTGAAGAGAAGAGAAGAGAAGAGAAGAGAAGAGAAGAGAAGAGAAGAGAAGAGAAGAGAAGAGAAGAGAAGAGGTCAGACAGAGTGACAGTCAGTTTGATTGACAGTCCAGAGAGGGAACATTTCACAAAGCCATTGTTCAACCAAAAGAGCAAACACTTCTTCCGTATCTCATCTCCTCCTTTCACCCCTCACTTTTTTGTTCTCTCTCCTCCACATTACCCCTAACCCCTCGCCTCCTCTCCCACCTCTCTGCCACTCTTTAATATGAGCACTGATGGACACACACAGATACCTTCTGATTTTCTCTTTTAGACCCACCTCACTACAGTCACACGTGTCGCCGCATGGATTAAAGGACATGTGAAAGAAGAAAAAAGTCCTTTGATGATGATCGATCGTTCTGTGGTGTTGAATGAGCAGCAGGTCTTTCATTCAGACGTTGTCAAAAAAGCAGAATTAATAAGAATACAGAAGAATGGGGGATTATTTGTGCTAGTTTTTCATACTTATGGAGAGGGATGGAAAAGTGAAACTACTTCATGTGTAATAAATCTTTCACACACACTGACAATGCAACATTTTACACACACAAAAACTTCATCGGGGCTGCTAAAGTAAGATGATTAGACTCAGAGGGAGCGTAAACGGTCCTCCCGTGGTCCTAACAGCAAACCTTTAAATAGGGACCAAAGTTTCCCTTGTCTCCGGATTGCATCGACGAT